TCTCTCTCTCTCTCTCTCTCTTCCTAATACTTTCCCGTAAGTATTGAACGAAACACCTCCAATTGTATGATTTAAAAATTATATCATACAATTATACATCCGGGTTTGCCATTAAAGACGGCCAATGTTGGCTTGGCAAATCCCGTCATTAAAGTGTTAGTTTAAAGAATATATCCATGTAAAATTATGTACTTTAATGATAAATATATATCTATCTTATCTATCTATCTACTTGTGTTGCTATTTACTAAAACTCATTACTTTAGTTTTGTTTTGTATCGAATCATTTCAAATATATTCTCTTAATTGTGTCCATAGATAGATTTTAAAGTGGGTTTTAATGTTTTACTGAAAACTAATCTAGGGTTTATAGTTCGAGACAAATAAGCCAAAAGTAATATGTCATTTTTGTCATTAAATCACAGACTAAGTAAAATTGAAATTTTGCTGAAATAGAGGGTATATTGCGAAAAGCATTATCCCTATTAACTAATGTTTATTATTACTGATACACGAAAATCCATATAAATCTTTTTTAATCTGTTTTCTGCTCATTAAAAGTTTGTAAGAGTAAAACTGAACCAGAATTGTTTTACACTTTAGAACTAATCTATTGAAGGGATTGTAAGCGTTTTTTCAAGTGACCCTGCATGCAAAGATGGCAATGTTAAAAGAAGAAATGCATTAGTTACTTTAGTAGAGAAACCACAACTGTAAATGATTCTAAAAATATTAACATTGATATACTTGATCAGACAAAGCTTTTAAGGCTACAGTCGGGAATCAGACAATGCCATCTTTGCATGCAGTGTCATTTAAAATTACCCTTGTACATTCCTTTAACTTGTTTAGAATGAGATGAGCTATGAAGAAAAACTGAAGTACGTGTCTGTGGTCGCTACTCCTATTGCCAGCAAGAAGTTTGCCAAGAAGATTTATAAACTTATCAAGAAAGGATCAAAACAGAAAACTTTTGTGAGAAGTGGCCTTAAGGTAAAAAATATTTAATTTAGGAACTGGAAGCGCAATTTCAATTGAGAATAAATCTCTCTATTTGAAGAGTGTCATGTCATATTTACAAGGGTTACCTTGAAACCTTTGTCTAATTGATTACGGGGATATTCTTATTTTTATAGTTGAAACTTAAGTGCCTGGAAACGGCTAGTATACACTGTAATCTCGAGTCTTCCGGCACTCATCTTTCAGCATTGAGGATATTAACATTATTCTTGATAAGCAGTGCGTAGGATCCGGATCCGCAAGATTTTATCTTCCTGGATCCGGATCCAAGGGGAAAAATATCAACCAAAAACTACAAAAAAAAGAAATTCAAAAGCCAAATCTCAACTGTTGAAAAAAGAGAAAACAAAAAGGCCCTGATCCTAAATTGCTCATCAAGTTTTAGCTTAAAAATATGCGAAAACAGGAAGAACATTGACAATTCTGTTTTGTTTAAATAATTAGTTAATCATATAGAAATCTGCATGACTTGGATCCGGATCCGTTTTTTTCCATTACGGATCTAGGATCCGGAACTGCATCAAAATTAAAAGGATCTCAAACACTGTAAAAGACTACTGCTGTGAATCGGACATGCCACTGTATAAATAGAGGTTCAATAGAAATAAAGTTTACGAAGGTTTATCAAGAGAGAAAGATTAATAACTTACTAGGAAATCTTTCAGGTAAGTGTCTTATTTTTAGAAAAGGAAAATATTTTAATTATTTGACCTCGTGGACAAGTTTGATATTGAGACCAACCATTTTATCGTTGGAATAAAGATATTTAGGTCAATAATGTCTTTAGTAAGATTGTCAGGCTCATGGCACTACTTTAGGAACACCCAACTCCTATGTAGGCAAATTGTTTACTTTTCTTTCTGAGCCGGAACCTGTCTTTAAGTTTTGATCTCATGGAGCAATAAAAACAAATTCAGTGCACCCACAACGTCAGTCATTATCATTTTCTTGTGTTGTTGACAGTAAATATTGAAGAAATGTAGAATTGTCGTACTGAAACCAATGATCTTTGTTCCGGGACCGTCAGACGAAGATAAATGATTTAAGGAGCAGGATTGTCGGACTGAAACCAATGTTCTTTGTTCCGGGACGGTCAAATCAATGATTTAATGACCAGGATTGTCGGACTGAAACCAATGATCTTTATTCTTTGTTCCAAGACGGTCAGACTATGATCAATGATTTAATAACCAGGATTGTCGGACTGAAACCAATGATCTTCGTTCCAGGACGGTTTGAATAAAGTCAATGATGTCATCACAAGGATTGTCGGACGGAAACCAATGGTTTTATTTCCAGGATGTGCAGAGCAGAATCAGAAAAGGAGAAAGAGGAATTGTTATATTTGCTGGTGACGTCACTCCCGTAGGTAATCTAATACAGACGACTATTTTAAATCTTGTTAAATAAATTAATCAAATATCTTAAATTAAAATATTTAGATATTTAATTCTACTTTACGAATAATGAATTTCTCGTCTCTCAAACAGACGTCATTTCAAGTGATCTTCGACAATCTAGTTCACCGCGGTTTCCTTAGATTTGTCACCTGAACAACAATGAGAAAGATATCTTTGTTTTTCCATCCAGGATAAATTCTGACAATTCCCGTTATTTTCTCGGGTGCATATATCCCGCAAGTCGCGTCATAAAAGAATATAAGTGAAAATTCCATACTAATAAATGGAATTATCCGTATCCGTATTTAAAATGTAGGGTTCACAGAAAAGGATCTAATAATATTTTGAATTAAAATGTTAAAATGTTTATTATTATAATTAATTACTTAATTACTAATAACTTTATTGGTAATAACATGCTTATTTGTTTTTGAGTACATCCAAACCAAAGGAAATAATTAATTGATTATGTTAAGATGTGATGATTCATATGCCAGGAGTTTGTGAAGATCTCGATATACCATACGTTTATACACCCTCCAGAACAGTAAGTACATCTATCAAACAATTACTATTTCAAGCTATAAAAGAAGTGTTATTACGTTGCTTTCTAAGCCTATATGTGGACTTAATTAAATTTGATATTTTTTTTCTGAAAAACAAGCATCACTTAATGTAAAAACAAATTCAACAAACTTTGAAATGTTTTAAGAAAAAAATATTTCTTTGATGCTTCATAACAAGACGAAATCTTCCGACGCTTCGGGAAAATACACAATATCCTAGTAATATATTCTTATGTTATATAATATATAAACGACATTACAGAAATTCTTTGATAGTTTTCAAATATGATTTTTCTCAATGTCTAGGTATGTTTGCACTGAGCGCAATTTTCAAGGTCTTTTTTGCGCAGATTTTTTGCAAATATGTCTTTTTGGGGAACATAAATGATTTTTTGTGTAAAAGTATCCAAGTAGGACAAAAAGGTAGTCTTTTGATGTTCCATTTTTTCTGCATACCACTCTCGGGAGGTGGTAATTCTTGGAATGAAAATATATGCCCCGAAGAGAATTTTCAAGAGGTTGGGATGGGGAAAATATTTTTCAAGAGGTTGGGATGGGGAAAACATATTTCAAGAGGTTGGGATGGGGAAAATATTTTTCAAGAGGTTGGGATGGGGAAAATATTTTATAAGAAAAAAATACTCTAGAAGGAACTAACTGTACACACATTTTTGAAAGTGAACTTGTGGACAACGTACAATATCATAAATTTGGACTCGCTGGAAAAAATGGATCCGAATCCGGATCCAGGTTTTGAACATTATCAAAAGATTTACTGATTTTAATACAAAAGAATAATTTTTACTAATTTTATGCAACAACTTTATTTACAATTGAGACACTTTTGATAATCTCTCTTTTTTCAACAGTTAAGTTTCGAGTTATTTTTTCAACAATTTAATATTGAGTTTTGAAAGCAAAAGATTTTTTTGGTGCTTTTGGTTGATATTTTGCCCTTGCATCGGCGTATTTTTTCGGATCCGGATACAGGCAGCCAAAACTAGCGGATCCAACGGATCTGAATCCTAAGCACTGGAAAAAGTAAATACTTCAAAATTCCTTTTTACAGGATCTTGGATCAGCTATGGGAGTAAAAAGAGGATGTTTGATGATGTTAGTCCGAGAACACGCAGATTACAAGGTATTCCCCACCGGCCCATTCTCATATTAAAGAAAAAAAATTTGATAGTTTTGTATCTTCAGGGGCGGATACAGAATTTAAGTTAAGGGGGGGGGCAAGATTTTTTAGGAACAAAAAAGTTAATAATTAAGAACAAAAAACCGTGCTGGGGGCAAATAAATTTTTTGACTGAAAAGCAGTGCTTAGGATCCATTTAATTTTGATGCGGATCCGGATCCTGGATCCGCTTTTCAAAAAAATGGATCTGGATTCGGATCCGGATCCGGATCCAGGTCATTGATCAAAAAAAAAATTTAGTTTAGTTCAAATATCTTTTCATACCTAAAAAAAATTTTAAACATTTTAACATTTTTTTATACTATTTTTCTACTAGTTTGCACAAAATGATAATGATTTTTTTTTACTTTATTGGATGAAAAAAACAGGTCTAATTCATATTAGCTTTTAGTAGAAGGAGGGCGTTTGGAATATCTGCCTTCAGGCAACTCCTTAGGTCTGATTTGAATATCTTCAGGGCAGAGAACAGTCTCTTTATAGTGGGAACACAAGATGTTCCTTAGCATCTGTATCTTTTTAGCATATGTGCGCCCCCTCCCTTTTCCCCCTCACTCTTACACATCCTTACACCTTAATTTGTGAAGACTGAATTTGCTTAGTTGCAATGGGGAAAAGGGAGACTTCTCCCCCCCCCCTCTCTAGTTATTAAAGGGGGGGGGTGCACGGTGGAGGTCTGAGTTAAGATTTGAGCAAGATAGAAACCTGAGACCCTGAGAATATTTTTAAAATCTGTTAAACAATTCAAAATAAGATATTTTTAAGGAAAAATAACGCTGTTTTGCACATTTTGAAAAATAAAATTGTGCTTGGATCCGGATCCGTGGATCCGCATTTTTTTGCGGATCCGGATCCGGATCCAGAGAGCCAAAATAATGCGGATCCAGCGGATCCGGATCCGGATCCTAAGCACTGCTTAAAAGACTCAAAAAGAGTCAAAATTAATGACTAAAGACCAAAAAACTAGATTTTTAAGTTTTAGGAACAAAATTAAAGGATAAGAACAGGAATATAGGAACAATAAAAAGATTGTTCAGGAATTAGGAACAAAAATAAAGGATTAGGACAGGAATTTAGGAACAATTAAAAGATTGTTCAGGAATTAGGAACAAAAATATAGGATTAGAACAGGGATTTAAGGTGGGTCGGACGCAGTATTAGGAACAGGAACAGTAATAGGAACATTAGCAATTTAAGAACAAAAAGAAATTACTAGTTATACTTAAATGCATGAAAATTAGGAACAATATTACAATTTTGATAAATGAGTATTGAGTAAGGAACATTGCTAGATATGAACAATATTAAAACATAAGTCTAGTTTCTTACAAATTTCTAATTCTAAATTTATCGTTAACAATAGCACTTATCAAATTGGGAACATTTTTTTGCCTCGAAATCTCAGGGGGGGGCTACGCCCCTCCCTGAATCGGTCAGGGGGTGGCGAATTTCCCCCCGCCCCCCCCCCTGTATCCGCCCCTGTGTATCTTAAAGATTCGAAAATGTTGTTTAAAATAAACCTACTGCAGTTCACTATAACTCCAATTAATTTGAAAGACACCAAAATATGTTTTGCAATGCAAATTTTTTTTACTGGGTGTATATTTAATATTTTCCCGAAAAAGTATTTTGTTTTTTGTCCTCCCTTTTTGCCCTTTTTGGATTTTTTTTTTAAGTTAGGCATGTTCCAGGGTTTGATTTGCTGAATTGGGAAAAATATATGATTTTAGGGAAAAATAAATTTTTAAGAACAGTATCAAAAATAATTTTTTGTTTACTTTTTGTCTAATTTGTATACACCCCTCTTTTTATAGTTAAAGATTATTAAAAACTTTCTTAAACTTGTTCAAAATAACAAAATTAAATTTTTAATGATTAGGATACGGATCCGTTGTATCCACCAAAAAATGCGGATCCCTGGATCCGGATCCAAGGGGAAAAATATCAACCAAAAATTATTAAAAACTTTCTTAAACTTGTTCAAAATAACAAAATTAAATTTTTAATGATTAGGATACGGATCCGTTGTATCCACCAAAAAATGCGGATCCACGGATCCGGATCCAAGGTGCAAAATATCATCCAAAAGTGGCACACACAAAAATTTTACTCTTAAAAAAAATGATTATAAAAAATTTCATGATTTCTGAATTAATTGTTAAAAAAGTTTTAAAGAAATAACCTGGATCCGGATCCATTTTTTTCCAGTTCGGATCCAGGATCCTCATCCTCGTCAAAATTAAATGGATCCTAAGCAGTAAGCACTGCTAGATTCATTTTTAAAACGTAATTTCAAGTGGCCTTTCATTTATAGATGGGCATGTCCGATATACAGCGATACCCTTTAAACCTTTGTTTTATTACGGATATTCTTGTTTATATAGCAGGAAATTATGTGCTAAGAAACTGGCAAGTGTACACTAACACGGAGAGTACACTGTAATCTCGAGTATCCCGGTGGCCGGCACTTAATCTTCAGCTATACAAATGAGGGTATCTACCTTATTGTTTCCGGGACAAATGTAAGGGTACCGTTGTGAATCAGACATGCCTCTCTTTAAATGGTAGGTAACTTGAAACTACGCTTACAGTCCCTTTAAAAATATTTGTCTACTCCTCAGGATCTCTACGACGAGGTGAACAAGGAGATCAAGGGGCTCCACGAGGCATGAAGATTGTAAATGTGTTCAGTTCACTGCGTTTTGAAATCCTTAACGCATAAGCGCATTTGCCCTGTATTGTTATAAAGTACCTTGTATACTATTCATGTTCATAGCACTCAGTGCACGAATAAATTTTTTTTCTTTACATACAACTTTTATTATAAAACATTTTATTATTATATGTTTTTTTTATTTTACAAAAAAACTTTTATAAAAATATCTGATTTTTAATTTACAGATTGATCGATATCAAGAGTATTAGCCAGTCCTCAAATTTGGGATCCATTGAATCCGCAACATCTTGGCTTCCTTGAGCCGGATCCATTCGTTAAATGAGTTAAATTCAACGATATGAAGGTGGTATGTGGTCTTTTGTCAAAAAGAATAGTTTTTAATGATTATTTGGCAATATATTAAGTCAACCTAAAGATTTAGAAAAAGGCTGGATAGTTGTTTATGGTCGTCTCTGAAGTTTCATCCTTTGTGGTTACCCTGTAGGTTTCTTATACTAAGTTCGTGACGTATTTCTCCAATAAAAGATAAGATTAAACCCCAGGGGACCTTTAAATTAATATCGGTAAAAGATTTATATTAAAGCATTTATAAAACGTTGAAATTATCTTCAGGGTGGCCAAAATGTACGGATTTTTTATTTTGTAACCCTAAAATTGTACGGATTTTTTTTCAAATTGTGCGGATTGTTATCCCGGAAATACACCGGTTTT